GATCTTGATGATAGACTCTTAAAACATGTGCATGAGAGGAACTCATGAGTGACTCTTGAAAGGTAAGAATGATATAAGAACAAATTCAAGAATGCAATTGACAATTTCAAGAAATGAGAAAGTTTAAATAAAAGAAAATGTGTTTTAGACCTTTTGCAAAATTCTTTAATTTTTCAATGAATAAAAATATTAGTCTAAAATTCTATGGGAGATGAAATTCTGAAACTTTTTGGGAATAATTCTGTAATTTTTGAAACATTGGGGGTGATATTTCTGTAATTTTTTAAAATTTATAGGGGTGATTCTGTAATTTTTTGAATCTATTGGGGATATTCCTATAATTTTAAAATTTTTGGATGATATTTCTGCAATTTACTAGAACTTCTATGGGTGATTCTAAAATTTTCTAATTTTACTGAGAATGTTTCTGAAATTTTAAATCTGTTGGCACAAACCTGTAGTTTGTTTTTTTTTTTTTTTTGGTAAATCCCTTGTGCTAAAGTTCAGCAGTAGCAATAAGGAAGTAGCAACAGCAACATGAGGAGGAAACGACGAAGATGATGGTACCCAAACAATGATGGCACCAACGAAATACAACGCCGAATGCGACTTTGAAACCCAGTCCTTCAAACCTTGATTTTATTTTTTTAATATAACTGGACAGTGAGATGTTGGTGGTGATGAATAGTGTTGCCGAAGAATAGTGCCACGATGAACAATGAATAGTGCACAATGAATAATATTTNACGCCGAATGCGACTTTGAAACCCAGTCCTTCAAACCTTGATTTTATTTTTTTAATATAACTGGACAGTGAGATGTTGGTGATGATGAATAGTGTTGCCGAAGAATAGTGCCACGATGAACAATGAATAGTGCACAATGAATAATATTTTTTTTTTTTTACACGAATCGAAATTGGGCTCCGATACTAAATTGATGTAGACTAGAAAAGGAAAATTAGGGAGGAGAAATTGATGTAGACTAGGAAAGGAAAATTAGGGAGGAGAAAAGAAGAAGAAAGGGATGAGGAAAAAAAAATGGATAAGAAAAGAGAAAAAATTTGAGAAGAAAACAATATCAGTATTCAATAATAATTAAAGTCTACTCTAAATAAAAGTCTTACATGTATCCTTTTAGATAGGAACACTAAAACTCTAAAATAAATAAAAAATTACAAATAAACCCTTAAAAATTAAAAGAAANTATCAGTATTCAATAATAATTAAAGTCTACTCTAAATAAAAGTCTTACATGTATCCTTTTAGATAGGAAAACTAAAACTCTTAAATAAATAAAAAATTACAAATAAACCCTTAAAAATTAAAAGAATTTATTTAAAAGATAAATATTAAAAGTATCTAAATAACTCTCATAATTAATCTAAAAATATCTATCCAATTTCTACACGATCTCTATCAGAAAATATATTATGCCACTTTCCATGGTCTACATGACCATGTTTACCTATGTAAAATTAGTTTAACCATTGTACTTATTTACATGCTCCATTGTTCTCATTGTCATTGTGGAATGGGTCACATGCTTCTTGTGCATCCTTATTTTCATTCCCTCCAACCATTTCATCAAGATACTTAGCATATTCTCTAGTTGCACAATCTTTGCCCAAAAATTATTCCCCAACCTTTGTAGTGTAGTCAACATTTTTCATGCATCCCCTAACTTGCTTATTCTTCTACAACACCAATGGCACATTAACAAGCCTCATATAAGTAGAGTATTGCTACAACTTTAATAATGTATCACTCAAGTCTAGGTTGTCATACCGTAATATATGCTTGGAAGTCCGAGGTCGAATCCTTAGGAAATTGTGAAAACAAGAAGCACAAAAAAATAAAATAAAAGAAAGTTGTTTGAATAGAAGTTTATTCAACATAACAAGAATTGATTGTTTAAAACAATAATTGAAATATCAAAGCATTAGAGATACCTTTTCAATTCTACACAGTAATTATTAATGATTCAGTTTTCGAACTCAATTGGGAATCAGCTGAGAAGTGATTCCAATCGAAAGATTCAGTGGTGATAATATAAAAATATCAAAAGTTATAATTATTAGATTACCCTAACAAGTCTAGTAATTCAACCACATATTACAAGTATTCACTGTGCCCAAGCATACGCACAGTCATAAAATATCATAGAAATCTAGATTTGGCCATTGCCCACATAGGAGTACTTTTAGAAGAATACCGAGTCATACAAACCCACAACCAAACTGAGAAAACAACACAAGGAGGCATATTCAATTTGGGGATGGAATATAAACATATGAATGTATCGATTATGAAAAGGGGATGACATTGTAACAATAAAATAGTTGCGATCTTGCTCTTCCAATGAACGTATACAGCAACCGATGGAACATCAAATAATTGGTGGGACTAGCGATATTTTCAAATCTGGTGTGAAATGAGGACAATAGCCATGGTTCAGATCTAGAATAAGTTGTGTCCGAGCACCATAGTTCAGATCTGGAACGAGCTGCGAATAAGAGCCATGGTGGTTGTCGAAGATTGGATTGAGAAGCATTAGGGTTAGACCGAACTGAAGAGGATGATTTACATATGTGGTGTGTACAAAGGGGTATCATAGTGAATTTGGCAACATATACTGTCGATGGGCTTATTACTAGTTTACAATACTGGTTACCATGTAGTCTTCAATATACCCATATATATGAGTTAAATGGTACTATAGGAGTCGGGTCGGGGAATTGAACCAAGCCAAATTAGTACTGAACGTAAAATACAAAACAAAAAAGTATTAATAAGCTCTATGTATTATTTTTCGTTATCCCACCTTTTAATACCCTTCTCATTCTACATACAAACAAGCCCATGCAGTGCTACGTCAAATTATACATAGTGAAAGTCCAATGCGATGACTCTGCCGGTCCAAAACCTCATACGTACTCAATTGTCATCCCATCAAAAGGTTTAACTTGTGAGAGAGGGCTAACAAATTTTTTTTTTTTGAATGTTGAAACGAGCTAAACCANCAAACAAGCCCATGCAGTGCTACGTCAAATTATACATAGTGAAAGTCCAATGCGATGACTCTGCCGGTCCAAAACCTCATACGTACTCAATTGTCATCCCATCAAAAGGTTTAACTTGTGAGAGAGGGCTAACAATTTTTTTTTTTTTTTGAATGTTGAAACGAGCTAAACCGATGAGAACTTTTCTTCTACTATAAACTAGACTTTGGCTATTGTGTCTTCTACATAATAGTCCTAACTTACACGAACCCAGTAAAAAAATCTTTATCCTTGACAAACACTACATAAATAAAATCTCATTTTCAATCATATTATTCATCTTAAATTAAACTCAAAGGCATTTTATATTTTAACACGTACCGACTTAAGTATTNAAACTAGACTTTGGCTATTGTGTCTTCTACATAATAGTCCTAACTTACACGAACCCAGTAAAAAAATCTTTATCCTTGACAAACACTACATAAATAAAATATCATTTTCAATCATATTATTCATCTTAAATTAAACTCAAAGGCATTTTATATTTTAACACGTACCGACTCAAGTATCGGAGGAATTACGTTGGAATCACTTGTACCATTTCTTTTGAGGTTGGTCAATCAATTTCTTATCTATGCAATAACTTTTCACGTCAAACAGGAAATCTTGACTTGTTAGTGTTTGAATATCCTAGGCCGGTACAGAACAAAATAATCGCAATCTAATCCCAGGTCGAAGTGTAGATGTCCAAGCTACCAAACAGACCGAAATTCCCATATCCCCAACGAACACTAGCGGGTCATGTGCAGATTGATTCCTTGAAAAGGGCGCCAGACAATATCCACACTTCCCAGAAATTCAAAAGAGTAAATTACACTTAGACCCTTAAAGCTATACATGTTATTCCACNTAACAAGCCTCATATAAGTAGAGTATTGCTACAACTTTAATAATGTATCACTCAAGTCTAGGTTGTCATACCGTAATATATGCTTGGAAGTCCGAGGTCGAATCCTTAGGAAATTGTGAAAACAAGAAGCACAAAAAAATAAAATAAAAGAAAGTTGTTTGAATAGAAGTTTATTCAACATAACAAGAATTGATTGTTTAAAACAATAATTGAAATATCAAAGCATTNAGAGTAAATTACACTTAGACCCTTAAAGCTATACATGTTATTCCACATTGCCTTTTAAACTATCTATCTATCAATATTACAGTCAGAAAATTGAATTCTCAGTTTATAAAAACATAACAATCTTTAAAATTGATCTNACATTGCCTTTTAAACTATCTATCTATCAATATTACAGTCAGAAAATTGAATTCTCAATTTATAAAAGCATAACAATCTTTAAAATTGATCCAATTTTTATCTATTTTAATCTAATGGTACAAAATTCATTTAATTTTTTTCCACTCAAAAATATAATTCTCTATATTGTCCTCAATATCAAACAATTCAACCAACACATTTTCCAATATCAGACAACCACATTAATCTACATACATCTACATCTGATTATTACTAATTTATTTATATTGCACCTTAAACTATTAAGTTGAATTTTACTCAATCATTGAATTCTATCTTTTTTTAATAGTAGAGATCAGGATAAAAATAAGATTTTATCAAGCTTAGTATGGAAAGACCACATTTCTTAATGTTGTTGGATGATAAATATTTGAGTTACCATTTTTGTGTTCTATTTGGGTTGTGCAACATTTTCTATTTTTGGTTTCCATTTTGTCCTAACTTACCGTAAAAAATTGTACAAAAGTCAACGATTGGGATAATGCAAAACTAGAACCAATATTTTAAGATACAATGTGAAAAAGAAAATAATTTAAAGGGCTATGTGAAATGCGAACATAGTATAGGGGGATCTAAGTGTAACTCTCGCAATTCAAAACCTCTTAAGAAATAGAGGGCTTTGACTCTCTTCTCATTTCTCAGTCTGAGAAACCCTAAAATCAACAACTCGTATTGGCAGAAATGGATTTCAATTGCTCCGATGTGAGTCTATGGAAAGAGTCTCTCGCTTCCTACAGTTGTCGAATTGAAGCGCTTAACAAGCCCAATCTCGTCGCCCTCGATGACTTCTATCGCAATGAACTTCCTTCTCTCATCCTTGAACGAAACCCTAGTCCGTACATCACCACTACTGACATCTCCAAGCTCATGCAATGGAAGCTCACCCGAGGCAAATGGAGGTCAGCTCTCTTNTACTGACATCTCCAAGCTCATGCAATGGAAGCTCACCCGAGGCAAATGGAGGTCAGCCCTCTCTCTCTCTCTCTACACATTCACATGCCACATTTATATGTATATGTATTATGTTACTTAACTACTGTGTGTGAGATTTAGGCCTCGATTATTGGATTTTGTGTCGGCACTGGACGAAGACGTAGTGAAATCGGCATCGGAGAAGGCTTTTACATCTCTTCCTGATGTATCAAAAGCTGTTTCGGAGCTTACGGTACTGAAAGGAGTTGGTCCGGCCACTGCATCTGCCATTCTGGCTGCTTATGCGCCTGACATTGCGCCGTTCATGTCGGACGAGGTAATACTGTGGTCGATTTTTGAGAATTTTATTGTTTTGGGGTTTCTTTGTGTTGGTTAATGATGGGTTAGTTCTGATGTTGGTAAATAGGCGATGGTGGCGGCTCTTGGTAATTCGAAAGATTACACATTGAAGCAGTATGTTGTGTTTGTGGATAAGTTGCAGGCAAAAGCAAAGGTTGGCTAATCTTCTTGTCTCTGCTTAAGTAAGTTCATACTGTTTAGATAGTAAAATAGTGAATAAGAGTGACTCTGATGTTTATAATCCTCCTCTTTCTTGTGACGTGCTATGCTATAATTTGACTGAACTATTAAGGTCCTCCTTGGATATTTTGTATACTAAAAATGTGATTAATTGTGAATACCGACATTTTGAATGCCCTGATTGTTTATTTGTTCTCTTAGACTTATGTTATCAATCTGGGGATAGAGACAATTTTTGTCAGTGTAAGTCCATGTTACCATGCTGGTATGCCTGCCACACTCCCATATGTAGTGTTCAAAGAACAAAGTCGATCTCATAACACTTATCCTTTGACAGCATAAGTTCTCTTATTAATTGCCTCGGCAAAAGTTTTGGGCATTGGAATCTTAATTTTCTAAAGCAAATACCCAAGTTTTCATTACAAGCCAATGTAGTTTTTGGAATAGGATTTTTTTGGAGGAATTCACTTGCATATTGTAAGCAAGGCTCCTTATTCTAGTTGTAAAGCATAACGGAAAAGGAGGAAGAATAGGCACTGCCAACCCTACAAGCAGCCTGCATTTTATAAATAGTAGCTATTTATTTATACTCCAATTTTTTTTTGTTGGCTATTCCCCTTGCATATTTGCAAATGGGTTGTTGGGCCTTTTGTGGAGTTTAGTTTGTGTGTTGATCCGGATGATGACCCGACCCGAAATAATGTTGCGTGATTTTTAATGGNGTCCTCCTTGGATATTTTGTATACTAAAAATGTGATTAATTGTGAATACCGACATTTTGAATGCCCTGATTGTTTATTAATTGTGTGTTGATCCGGATAATGACCCGACCCGAAATAATGTTGCGTGGTTTTTAATGAGAAATATTTTGAATAAACTGTTATTCGGTGATTAGGGTTTTGGATTGATTTTGTATGGCCGCCGCCCTCTCTGTATTCATTTTTGAGAATAGTGAAATCCGTGCAGTTTCGTGGACGTAGACAAATTGCCGAACCACGTAAATTTTGTGTTGTGTGANGAGAAATATTTTGAATAAACTGTTATTCGGTGATTAGGGTTTTGGATTGATTTTGTATGGCCGCCGCCCTCTCTGTATTCATTTTTGAGAATAGTGAAATCCNGGAATGAACAATAAAAGGAGAGATTTTGTTAGTGTAAATCGGGAATTTTGATTTTTCAGAGAGAGCAAGCGACGAAGAGAGAGCTGAGACTTGTAGTAGGGAGGAACCAAGTGGTTTGATGGGTTGTACCCTTAACTTCCAGTAAACAGTCTATCATGTAGTGGCTTGGGTGGCTATGATGAATTTATTCCTATTGAATATCCTTGTTCCAGCTTGCGTGGCATGTCTTTGACCGAAATGAAGAGAGAATTAATTGAGGTGTGTGTACGTTGACTTAGACACTCTGTCTTTCTCTGTCACTTGAAAATAGATAAATGGGGGGATAATGACAAAAGTATGTTTTCTTACATTATCAAAAATTTCGTTGATACTTCATATTAATGTGACAATACTCGTTTTTATTTTTCGCTGGCCAATAAAACCTCAAGTATTGTCACATTAATATGAAGTATCAACGAATTGTTCGAAATTTTCCATATACATTTTACACATTGGGTAGGGGGTTTTTTCAAAAAAAAAATATTGCCAACCCTTGCAAAGCTGGAGATGCTAAGGTTAAACTATTGAAATACTCACCCTAGGTTATTGATATGGTGGAGCTATTTTGTTCTGACAGTGTGAATTTAGCTTTTACTTTAGCATTTTTGACTGTCCCAGTCAAGCCCGTACTCATGTAGTCTCTCTTGAATTTACTGAAATGGGCATTGTAGTAAGGGAATATGTCCTGCCAAAATAATTAACGTTCATAAATGGCATGGGTATGATTCAAAATCTCTCCTTAGAATCAAAAGTTGGAGTCTCGTAATAAACACGTGGATTATTACAAGTAATTAAAAAAAAATGTGATTGAAATGGTCTTCAATTTTAGTTGTAAATTCAAATATAAATTCAGGAATTTGTACACAATTAGTTCAGTTCTCACCAGATGAAAACATTGTTCTTGATTTTAACGGGTAACTTAAATAATAACGGGAATGAGCTGTAAGTTCAGATATTATGAGTTTAAATTTTGACAATTCTTTAGAGGTCAGGCTATGAAAGATTTATTTTTCACGAATATTCTAGTCCTGTGATCATATCGAAAAGGGGATTAGTCGTGGTGCGCGTAAATTAAATCAAATACNCGTGGACGTAGACAAATTGCCGAACCACGTAAATTTTGTGTTGTGTTATTTGGTTTGCATTCTTATCGTTCTTTTCATTAATTTCACTTTATTGTCATCGTTTGATTTCACAACATGGGTGTCTTCTCCAAAGCTCCCCCCACCCAAAGAAAAAAAAACTACGAAAACAATGGTTTATTTATATCAATGCTTTCGGATGCAACATGTGGCAAAATTGGTTGTAGGAATTAAGCACAAAGGGGGATTTGTTCACACCATCAGATGTGGAAAGAGCTCTGTGGAGTTCTGCTGCAGCGGCCAAGTTACAAGATTCTTCTACTGATGCTCATCTCATGGTTAAGCCAAACAAAAATTCCAAGAGAAAGAGAAAATGACGACTGCAGTGATGCCAGTTAATAACAGGAAGCCAATGCGTGTAAATATACTAACTAGTAAGTTTTGTGGTTCTATCCTTCAGTCTATCACAATTATCTTTTACAGTGAACTTCCAAATATGGCATGTGCTGTAAGAACGTCTAACTTACTTAAGCAGATATCATTTGTTATGTACTATTAATATCTAAATTGTGGTCTTCCTTGTATATTGTTTTATCTAAACATGAACCCTACATCAGTCTTACTGTCTGGGATGTAATTGTTAAGACACACATGTAGCAGACAACTACTAGGTTTATTTGTATGTGCACTCTTCACAAACCCGTTTTTCAAGCTATTTATGTGGACCTCTTCGTACACTACAGGTGAGAAAGCCAAAAATTGCCGCAGATTGTTGGCAGGGCAATTCTTTTATTTGTCAGAATAAAAAGGAGGATAAAGTGAAAACAAGAAAAAGAATGGTATCTCTTTGCCCTGAAGATGTTTTCTAGTTATTGACTTTATGTTCGTATGATTGAAGAAACTACGAGTAGTGTTTGAATGGTTTTGGGTTTTGGTTACGTAATACTACCTCATACTTACTAGTGGTGTAAGACAGCACTAAAGACTAACATGGCTAGAGAGCTTAATTTTTCAATTCTCGTCACATTTTTGTGAATTTAAATGGGGAATCGTGGACGATTCCTAATTTTCGGTGGACTTTTTCCTCATTGTTTTAGGATACTTTCTCTAGCTACTTACAGTTAAAACTCCTATCATATAATCATGAGCTTATTCAAATGCAGCCTTGATGTCATTGCTGATCGCTACTATGCTTATGATGGATCGGTTTGTTCTCCTGCTTCTGCCCGTGAAATAATTGATTAGTGATATAGACAAAGGGAAGGGATGGGCTGGATCAAATGGGATGCCTCTGACTGATTACTGTTTTAATCTTGGGCCTATCTATCAGAGTCACTGCTGTGCTTTTGTACATGGCTTACTATGATGCAATCTTTGTATTTTATGGGATTGAAGTAGTGAAACCATTTATTCGTCAATAAAAGGGAATGAACAATAAAAGGAGAGATTTTGTTAGTGTAAATCGGGAATTTTGATTTTTCAGAGAGAGCAAGCGACGAAGAGAGAGCTGAGACTTGTAGTAGGGAGGAACCAAGTGGTTTGATGGGTTGTACCCTTAACTTCCAGTAAACAGTCTATCATGTAGTGGCTTGGGTGGCTATGATGAATTTATTCCTATTGAATATCCTTGTTCCAGCTTGCGTGGCATGTCTTTGACCGAAATGAAGAGAGAATTAATTGAGGTGTGTGTACGTTGACTTAGACACTCTGTCTTTCTCTGTCACTTGAAAATAGATAAATGGGGGGATAATGACAAAAGTATGTTTTCTTACATTATCAAAAATTTCGTTGATACTTCATATTAATGTGACAATACTCGTTTTTATTTTTCGCTGGCCAATAAAACCTCAAGTATTGTCACATTAATATGAAGTATCAACGAATTGTTCGAAATTTTCCATATACATTTTACACATTGGGTAGGGGGTTTTTTCAAAAAAAAAATATTGCCAACCCTTGCAAAGCTGGAGATGCTAAGGTTAAACTATTGAAATACTCACCCTAGGTTATTGATATGGTGGAGCTATTTTGTTCTGACAGTGTGAATTTAGCTTTTACTTTAGCATTTTTGACTGTCCCAGTCAAGCCCGTACTCATGTAGTCTCTCTTGAATTTACTGAAATGGGCATTGTAGTAAGGGAATATGTCCTGCCAAAATAATTAACGTTCATAAATGGCATGGGTATGATTCAAAATCTCTCCTTAGAATCAAAAGTTGGAGTCTCGTAATAAACACGTGGATTATTACAAGTAATTAAAAAAAAATGTGATTGAAATGGTCTTCAATTTTAGTTGTAAATTCAAATATAAATTCAGGAATTTGTACACAATTAGTTCAGTTCTCACCAGATGAAAACATTGTTCTTGATTTTAACGGGTAACTTAAATAATAACGGGAATGAGCTGTAAGTTCAGATATTATGAGTTTAAATTTTGACAATTCTTTAGAGGTCAGGCTATGAAAGATTTATTTTTCACGAATATTCTAGTCCTGTGATCATATCGAAAAGGGGATTAGTCGTGGTGCGCGTAAATTAAATCAAATACTCTTGATGGGTTAAGCCCAAATAGTCCAATTTATGTGTTAAAGTCCAACTCCAGTTGAGGAGTCCAACCTCATTTTCAATCTACCAAGCCCAAGATAGTCTAAGACCGGTTAGACTTTTTGCTTAGCACGTCATCAAGAGGAGAGCATGAGAAGCTTATCTGCACCACCGAAGGAAACGGTCCAAGTTTTGACCACGTTTCATGAAGAGCTCCCCAACCTCCTCCTTCCGTTGAGGATAGGTCATGATCTCCACCAGAATGATCTTTTAGTGCGATAAAGTAGCCTTGAGGATAAGTTATGATCTCCACCAGAGTGATCTCTTAGCTGCGATAAAGTAGCCTTGAGGATAAGTCATGATCTCCACAAGAATAATCTCTTAACTGCTATAAAGTAGCCCCAATCTGTGAGAAGCCAAAAAAAAAAGATGAAGGTCACGCCCCACCAACACTTACAGAGGACAGACCGACGACCGGAGACCATTTTCTTTGATTCTCCATTTNAGGAATTTGTACACAATTAGTTCAGTTCTCACCAGATGAAAACATTGTTCTTGATTTCAACGGGTAACTTAAATAGTAACGGGAATGAGCTGTAAGTTCAGATATTATGAGTTCAAATTTTGACAATTCTTTAGCGGTCAGGCTATGAAAGATTTATTCTTCACGAATATTCTAGTCTTGTGATCATATCGAAAAGGGGATTAGTCGTGGTGCGCGTAAATTAAATCGAATACTCCTAACCATTTAAAAAAAAAAAAAAAAAAGAATAAAAATTTATTCTTCATCTAAAACCATGGAGAGGAAGAGTAGCCCAAATGTGCCGTTTGTAGTTGATAGGAAGTGAAAATGCCTTGTCATTAGTCAAAGTCCATGGAACCTAATTTTCCATTTGGAAGCTGTTCTGAAAGCTCCATTTGCTATTTATTGGGACGCCACTCACAACACAAATGTCTTTGCTTTCTTTTGTGGGGAGTTGCTATATATTGCCATTGCTTTCGGGAAAAATAAAAAATTCAAAATTTGACATTGATGATGCCAGAAACTGACCACTGNAGCTGTTCTGAAAGCTCCATTTGCTATTTATTGGGACGCCACTCACAACACAAATGTGTTTGCTTTCTTTTGTGGGGAGTTGCTATATATTGCCATTGCTTTCGGGAAAAAAAAAATTCAAAATTTGACATTGATGATGCCAGAAACTGACCACTGAAATCCGAAAGATATGTTAACTTGAATCACACGTTGTTGACCGATCAAGAGGTGCAATAGCAAGTCGAATACCGGAAGAGTTCCGGGTAAATGAGGGAAATATAATTTAAGGTTGAGCTTGAATTCCTTACCTTGATAATCTCCATTCCTCCCTTCTTATAAGTTGTGATGGTCCGTTAGAGAAGTTTATACCTTACTTGAGAATTGGAATAGATCTTGGATATTTAACAGTAGAGTGGAGGTAGACTCTTTGTCCAATTGAAAGTATTAGTTGAATTGAACTAGTTAAGTTGTGGAGAAGGAAGATTATGCCGAGTTACCGAGCTCCACGTGCCAAACACGTGTTCAAACCTCGATCATTAAGTATTAAACACAAAAATATTACAAAAAATATTATTTTTATTTACCTACGCAAAAATAATTTTATAAAAAAATTATTTATTATGGTTTTCCTATGGTCTATTTGGTTTGGTGGAAAAAGTGGGTGGATGAAAAATGGAATAGAAAATCACATTTTTTTTTATTTGGTATGAAAAAAAAATTGAGAAGAAAGAAAAAAATGGATGAAAAACGTTTTAGTCACTCCATAAATGGGAGGAAAGTGGACCGAAGGAGGCAGCTGCTTCGAAAAGTCATTTCAAATTATCATTTTAGCCTTAAAAAGGACAGATTTTAAAAACACAAATTAGGGGGGGGGAAGAAATAAGCGTGTGGTCCACTTATTTTGTCTTTTTATATGCACAAGTTGACCAAATTAGTGGGTCCACATTAAAGTCATTTGTTTTTTACCNAACATGGCTAGAGAGCTTAATTTTTCAATTCTCGTCACATTTTTGTGAATTTAAATAGGGGAATCGTGGACGATTCCTAATTTTTGGTGGACTTTTTCCTCATTGTTTTAGGATACTTTCTCTAGCTACTTACAGTTAAAGCTCCTATCATATAATCATGAGCTTATTCAAATGCAGCCTTGATGTCATTGCTGCTCGCTACTATGTTTATGATGGATCGGTTTGTTCTGCTTCTGCCCGTGAAATAATTGATTTGTGATATAGACAAAGGGAGGGGATGGGCTGGATCAAATGGGATGCCTCTGACTGATTACTGTTTTAATCTTGGGCCTATCTATCAGAGTCACTGCTGTGCTTTTGTACATGGCTTACTATGATGCAATCTTTGTATTTTATGGGATTGAAGTAGTGAAACCATTTATTCGTCAATAAAAGGGAATGAACAATAAAAGGAGAGATTTTGTTAGTGTAAATCGGGAATTTTGATTTTTCACAGAGAGCAAGCGACGGAGAGAGCTGAGACTTATAGTAGGGAGGAACCAAGTGGTTTGATGGGTTGTACCCTTAACTTCCAGTAAACAGTCTATCATGTAGTGGCGTGGGTGGCTATGATGAATTTATTCCTATTGAATTTCCTTGTTCCAGCTTGCATGGCATGTCTTTGACTGAAATGAAGAGAGAATTAATTGAGGTGTGTGTACGTTGACTTAGACACTCCGTCTTTCTCTGTCACTTGAAAATAGATAAATGGGGGGATAATGACAAAAGTATGTTTTCTTACATTATCAAAAATTTCGTTGATACTTCATATTAATGTGACAATACTCGTT